TTACACACGTTGTATATATGTCTACTTTGTTTGTTCCTTTATCTTGCTAGATAGTATTCCATTGTATTGGATATAACAGTTTCTTCATTTACCAGTTAAAGAACATTTGGTTTGATTCTGCTTTTTGCCAATTACGAATAATGTTGTTTTAAACATTTGCCTATAGATGGGCTTCCTTTGTGGCTCAGCTGGTAAAGAATCTGTCTGCAATGCAGGAGACCTGGGTTCTATCCCTGGGTTGGGAAGATCCCCTGGAGAAGGAAAAGGCTACCCACTCCAGTATTCTGGCCTGGAGAATCCCATGGACTGTATAGTCCATGGGGGTCTCAAAGAGTCAGACATGACTGAGCAACTTTCACTTTCACTTCACTTTGTGTAAATGTAAGATTGCAGTTCACTTGGATAAATACGTAGGAGTGGGATTGCTGGGTCGTATTGTTAAGGGTAGGTATAACTTTCTAAGAAACTGCCAAAGTGTCTTCCCAAGTTGCTTTGCCATTTTGCATTCCCATTAGCAATATGAGAGAGTGTTCATTTGCTTCACATCCTTGCCAGCATTAGGTATTGCCAGGGTTTTCTTCGTTTTTGTTTTAGCTGTTTTAGTAGGTGTGTAGTGGTATCTCAGGTTTTATTTGTAACATCTTCTTGATTAATGATGATGAGCATCTTTATATGCTTATTTTTATTTGTATGTCTTTTTTCTTTTTATTATTTTTTAAAAACTATGTATATCTTCTTTGTTGACTTGTCTGTCCAGAGTTTTTTTGCCTATTTTCCAATTTTTTTGTTTGTCTTATTGTAATAGTTCCTTGCCTATTTTTGGATATGTGTTATGTGATAGATACATGTGTACTGAATATTTTCTCGTGTTCTGCACCTCATCATTTGACTTCTTACTGGTGTCTTTCAAAGAGCAGTTTTAAATTTTGATTAAGTCCATTTTATTAACCATTTCTATGGGTTAGGCTCTTCATGTCTTACCTAAGAAATCTTTGTCTAACCCTAAGGTCATGAAGACTTTCATTCATATATGTATATATTCATGTATGTGGGTGTGTGCTCAGTCGTGTCCGAGTCTGTGCAGCCCCACAGACTGTGGCCCTCTCTTGTCCTTGGGATTTTCCCAGCAAGCATGCTGAAGCAGGTTGCCATTGCCTCCTCCAGGTAATCTGCCCAACTCAGGGATCCCGCCCACATCTCCTGAGTCTCCTGCATTGACAGGTGGGTTCTTTACCACTGAGCCACCTGGGAATCCCATGTATTCATAAAATATATATCAGTATATATTTTATATATGTGTGTATATATGTATTAGAATTTTACTTGTATGTTAGGTTTCCAAACCATTTCAAGTTAATTTTTTTCCACATGGCTCACTAATTGTTCCAGTATCATTTGTTGAAGATGTTTGGAGTTGCATTGACATCTGTTGAAAATCTGTTGACAGTATATATATGAGTTTGTTTCTGGATGCTGTTCTGTTCCCTGTATTTATTGTTATCTTTTCACCAATCCTACACTGACTTTATTGCTGTAGCTCTATGGTTAGTCTTGAAATCAGGTAGTGTAAGTCTGTTTAGCTTTTCTAGGTCTTTGCATTTCAACTTATAGAATAGAATCACCTCATCAGTTTTTATAAAATATCTTGGAATTTGATTGAAAGTATTGATAGCTCATTCCTTTCTGTGTCTGGATAATATTCCATTGTATGTATTATGCATGTTGATGGACATGGGTTGTTTACACTTTTTGGCTCTTGTGGTTACTGTTGCTGTGAACATTCATGTATAAGTGTTTGAGTACCTGATTTAATTCTTTTGGATATATACCTGGGAGTGGAGATGCTGAGTCATGTGGTAGTTCTGTGTTTAACTTTTGAAGAACCACCAAACTGTTTATGCAGCTGTTGTGCCATTTACATTCCCACCAGCAGTGTAGGAGGGTTACAGTTTCTCTACTTCCCTGCCGATACTTATTATTTTCCTCTCTTAATTATATCCATCCTAGTGGGTGTGAAGTGGTAGCTCATTGTGTTTTTGATTTACATTTCCCTAGTAACAAATAATATCAAGCATCTTTTTGTGTGCTGGTTGGCCATTTGCTTCTCTTCTTTGAGAGAAATGTCTTTTTAATCCTTTGTCCATTTTTAAACTGGATTTGTATTTTTGTTGTTGAGCTTAAAATAAGAGGGTTTTTTTGTATATTCTGGATATTAGACTGTGACTTCAAATATTTCCTCCCATTCTACATGTTTTTGTTTTATTTTCCTGATGTCCTTCGATGCAAAAAATTTTTTTAATTTTTTAATTAAAATTAAAAATTTTTAATTTTTTTAGGAAGTCCAGTTTGTCTTATTTTTTTCTTTTGTTGTATGTGCTTTCAGTGTCATGTAAGAATTCATTGCCAAATCCAAGGTCATGAATATTTTCTTCTGTTTTCCTAAAGTTTTATAATTTTAGCTGTTATATTTTGATTAATTCATTTTGAGTTATTTTTTGTATATGGTGTAAGACATGAAAGTGAAAGTCACTCAGTCGTGTCCAATTCTTTGTGACCTTATGGACTATACAGCCCATGGAATTCTCCAGGTCAGAATGCTGGAGTGGGTAGCCTTTCCCCTCTCCAGAGGATCTTCCCAAACCAGGGATCAAACCCAGGTCTCCCTTATTGCAGGCAGATTCTTTACCAGCTGAACCACAAGAGAAGCCCAAGAATACTGGAGTGGGTAGCTTTTCCAGTGGATCTTCCCAACCCAGGAATCAAACCGACGTCTCCTGCATTGCAGGCAGATTCTTTTTTCTTTCTTTTTTAAAAAATTAATTAATTTATTTTAATTGGACACTAATTCAGTTCAGTTTCAGTTCAGTCGCTCAGTCGTGTCTGACTCTTTGCAACCCCATGAACCACAGCACGCCAGGCCTCCCCTGTCCATCACCAACTCCTAGAATCTACCCAAACCCATGTCCATCAAGTCAGTGATGCCATCCAGCCATCTCATCCTCTGTTGTCCCCTTCTCGCCCTGTCCTCAGTCTTTCCCAGCATCATGGTCTTTTCAAATGAGTCAGCTCTTTGCATCAGGTGGCCAAAATATTGGCATTTCAGCTTCAACATCAGTCCTTCCAATGAACACCCAGGACTGATCTCCTTTAGGATAGACTGGTTGGATCTCCTTGCAGTCTAAGGGGCTCTCAAGAGTCTTCTCCAACACTTGGCTTCAGTCCTTGGGTTGGGAAGATCTCCTGGAGGAGGGCATGGCAACGCACTCCAGTATTCTTGTCTGGAGACAGAGGAGGAGTTACAAAGAGTCAAACACGACTGAGAGAGTAAAAAATATAAGTTTCATGTGAGTAGCCAGTTGTCCCAGCACGGTTTGTTAAAGAGGCTGTTCTTTCCCATTGAATGATATTGGCACCCTTGTTGAATATCAGCCACAGATGTATGGGTTTGTCTCTGGACTCTTCATTCTATCCCTTTGGCCTGTGTCTGTCTTCATGGCAGTATACCACACAGGTTGATCGTTTATACCTGTTAATATGTGTTAGTATAGTGTATTGATTTTTCAAGTTTTGCTTACATTTTAGAAGTTTTTAAAAACTTTGGGTTAGTTCATTAAAAAATTATCTCCAAGTGTCAGATTTATGATAACACATGTATACAAACTTAATGGGTAGTTTTGTTTAAAACATTTTGGTGTGTTTCACCATTTCTCTAGCTGCATACAGATGAGTGATTTAGATAAGCAGTGTATCAGGGCATATTCTAACTGAATTTTCGCCACGAGTTTAATGAAAAACTAGCTACATAATTCAATCTGTCACAAGATGTTGACACTTGCTCTAGAAGGCCCAGAGTAAGAACAATCTAGAGATTTGCATCACATCAGGAGGGAATCATATATCTATAGTTTCTTAGAGAAAAATGGATGGAAACACTGCTTTTTACCCAAGTCATGGTTTTTAACTTTAATCAACACAACAAAAATTTCAGTCCTTCAGAATAAAAATATGATATGCCTCTGAAGTTTCTTTTCATCTGTAACTTCTCTTTACTCTCTCTCTTTTTCCTGTAATAATTTATTTGCTGAAGAAAATGGACTTTTGGTCCTAATGTTTCCCACTTTTGCTGATTGAATAACTGTGGTGCAGTTTGATATGTTCCTGTGTTCCTTATTTCCTATGAGTTAACATGTTGACCGTAGGGAAATCTAGAGGCTTGATCAGATTGAGATGAAACGTTTTTTGGTTATATGCACTTCATTGCTAATGTTAGTGTCTTCTGTTAGGAGGCACATAACACCTGCTTCTCTGGTGACTCAGACAGTAAAGAATCCACCTGCAATGCTGCAGACCTGGGTTCGATCCCTGGGTTGGGAAGAACCCCTGGAAGAGGGCATGGCAACCCACTCCAGTATCCTTACCTGGTGAATCCCCATGGACAGAGGACCTGGTGGGCTGCAGTCCATGGTGTTGTAAAAAGTCAGACACGACTGAGTGACTAAGCATAAAATACCTGCTTATGTCTGTTTTTATCATGTTAGCTTACTTTATTTTGATTCATTTTGGTTTTAATAATTCTAGGGGTTTTAGATGGAAAGGTTAAGATACAAGCTCTAGAGTCCAAGAATCTTGGTTCATGTTTTATTTCATTACCTACTAGTTCACTAATTTTGGAAAGTCACTTCCCCTACTCAGTGTTAAATTTTTATCTATTAACATGAAGAGGGGATGATGGTGTCTACTCATGGGGAAAAAAGTAAGCAAATTATTCAGCTGAGATGAATAGCTGTCCTTTGTCCCCATCAGTGTACAGTTGTGTATAGTAACCATTCAAAGTAAGCTTAATTGCAAGTGATTTTTGCCCTTGCTTTTATGTATTCACATTAATCAGCTCCCAACTAATGTTGGAAAGTAGGCTTTTTGTTGAATAAACTGAACCATAGCATGTTTTATGCTTGAAGTCCACTGAGAAGTACTTACTGATAATTTTTTTTTTTTAACAGTGTAATGTTCAAGCTCAGCAATGCCTTATGTGGATCGTCAGAATCGCATTTGTGGTTTTCTAGACATTGAAGAAAATGAAAACAGTGGGAAATTTCTTCGGAGGTACTTCATACTGGATACCAGAGAAGATAGTTTTGTATGGTACATGGATAATCCACAGGTTTGTAAAATCCAAAAGGTTCCCTCTTTGAAAGCATATGGATTTTAATTATTAATTATTAAAGTATTTGACACACTATGCTGGTGTTAGGATTTATCTTCCTAAACAACATATATTTAAATTTATTTCTACTGACTACTTATTTCTACTATTCTCCTTGCCCTGTACCTCCAACTCCTACTGTGTTAAAGTTCAGAAGATGAAGCTCAGTTTGTTTGATAAAAATTTATGCATGTGTTTATGTTTTTCCTTCCTTGGGAGAAACAGCTCTAACTCTGGTAGAAAATTTTTGGATTATTTAGATTTAAGATACTGTCTCTAAGATAGAGACTACTATCTTTTGGTAAATAAGCTGCTTAACCAATTTGACACTCTTGCACTTGTGTAGTGCTTTCATCTTTTAGTGTCAGCCATTGACACTAATGGCTTGAGTGACAGCCATTTGTGAATTTGATTTTTTTCGTTACCTTGCAGATTATTGGGGGCAGATGTCATATATTAAAAATTAGAATCCCATTTTTAAGATCTGTGAGAGGCCTTGGCCTGGAGATCATCTGTTGAATGGTTTTAAATTTTCTTTATCCGTGAAACTCTTAATTCAAATTGAGATGTATATTGCAAGAAAGTATGTGCAAAGCAAGAGATGAGTCCCTAGCAAACTTTTAAGCTGATCTGGTCTAGGGGATGACCTGTACAGGTGAGGAATGAAAAATTGAGGAGAGCAGGGATTGGTAGGAGGTTCTGTTTTGTTTCACAGAGATGGAAACAGAACCCCTAACAACTGGTCTGGTATTCTTTTCTCTTCAGTATTGATTTTAGATTGGGCAAAATGCATATTGCTAATACATTTATATTTCTTCATATAGAATTTGAGTTGTGGGGAACATTGAGATAAATCATAATGGAAAAGAATATAAAAATGAATTAATTTTCTTTCATTTTCTTAATTCATGCAGAAAATAATTTCATTTTCTGAACACATATATATATGCAGCAGAAGTTAACACAGCATTGTAAATCAACTATACTTCATTCAAAAAGTCAGAGAAAAAAGGGAATAGGATAAATACTTGACAATTGAAAAAGTAGTCAGTTCATAGTACCCTTGAAGGCCACGGGGTTCTGAGTAATCCCAGCAGGACTTTGTGAAAAGCAAGTCCAGTCCGGAAGCAAACATCCCCTCATCCTGTCTTCTAATGGGGACAGAACAAGGAGAGATGATGAATTGGAGCTTGATAGTGATAAGTTTTTAAAAAAATGCTCTTATATGAAAGGTAATAAGGTGATAATCAAGTCTTCTAGGGGTTTGTAATGTACGTAAGCTCACACATTGTAACTGGCAGTTGATCATCAGCCATTATTTTAGAAAATATAATGTCATATATCTTGGGTTTGAAGTTTATACATTTATCATTTACTATACCTGATATTCGGAGAAGGCAATGGCAACCCACTCCAGTACTCTTACCTGAAAAATCCCATGGACAGAGGAGCCTGGTAGGCTGCAGTCCATGGGGTTGCGAAAAGTCGGACACAACCGAGCGACTTCAGTTTCAGTTTTCACTTTCATACATTGGAGAAGGAAATGGCGACCCACTCCAGTGTTCTTGCTTGGAGAATCCCAGAGATGGCGGAGCCTGGTGGGCTGCCGTCTGTGGGGTCGCACAGAGTTGGACATGACTGAAGCGACTTAGCAGCAGCAGCAGCATACCTGATATTACTGACAGCTTCTACTGATAATTGAAAGAAATTATAAACTTCAAACTAATTTTTTTGAGTTGTAAGGAATCTTAATCCTTAGTATTAATTCAGTCTCCTCCTTAATGCAAGAGACCCATTTATCCCTAATGTTCACTATGTTGTTTGAACTACACATTACTAAAAAGTATTTATTATAGTTGAGACAGCTTTAGTGTTTTGCATGCCAAAATCTAGGTATTTGTGTCTTCTATTTATGGATATACTTTTACCCTCTGATTCTCTATACATTTAGTCCTATATCCACATGGAGTCTTTCAAATTTTGGAGGATTATTTGTATTTTAATTCAGTTTACATTATTTGATTGCTGACCTTGTATGAGGCTTTTTTTTGCTAGGAACTGTGTCTTCTCTACCCTTGTCCTTATTGAACTTATTGATACCCTGTTTTACTTCCTTATTTCTGAGTATGACCAACTTTCTTGGGTGATAGTAACCTGTCTATGCAGCTATGTGATTAATACCTTTATTTACTTGATCAGAGTCATTGGGAGAAGGAGCAAGTCAGCAGAAATCAAAAGTTCATGTTTATTTTCTTTTCTCCTTTTTTTAAAAAACATGAATCCAGTTCCTCCTTTTTATTGCCTATCTCTTTATCTGTAGCACAATCCCACTCCACGTTTCCAAGGTGAGGAGTAACTTAGCCCCTCTTGACTCCCTCTGATCACAGTTTACTAGATTCCAGTTTCCGATTTTCCTCCCCACACAAACCAGTGCTTAGTTTTGTCTATGAGCTTCCCTTGATTTCTCTCCTTTGTAAGATCTGGTTGACTCTTGGACAGTTTCTCCTGAATGTTATTTGCACCTGCTTGATTGTTTCTCTGTCTTCATATAATAAGTTCTTCTCCTTAGAATATCTCCTTTTGTCAGTACTTCCCACTTAAACAGAACTAAAGGAAAAGAACAAAATAGAATATGTGTATTACATAAACTTGGATTTCAGAGGGAAGTTGTGATTGTAGCTAGCAGAGGGAGTGAATGTCTTACCCGGAAGTGGTAGTAACATTTGAAATTGACTGGGAAGAAAGAGTATGATTTTGGCCAAGATGTGGAGAAATGGGTATTCGGTGCTCACCCAATAGTGTGGGGCAGGAAATCAAAGTAAGGAACCCTGTGGCATACTTGGAAAATAATTGGCTTTGGCTGTAGCAAGGAGGGTATTTGTTAAAGTGTGTGCTTAGCTAGATCTTTTTCACTTGCACTCTTTTTTTAAAGCCAAATTTCTGTGGTGTAATTACTTAGCCCATTAGTTGTTTTGGAGTGCAGAATTTTAAATCTTTCTATTCAGTTTATTCTTAATAATTTTATCTCTTCATTCCAACTAATAAAAATCTTTTACAATCTGCATTCTGTCATCCAGTGTATTAGCTTTCAATACCAGCTTTGTGTCACTTTAAAATGTATTAAGACATGTCTTGTCATGAAAACTTTAGTAAAATGTCTTGCTAAGAGTATTGTGTTGAACCACATGAAATTACCATTTTACTACCATTTTGATCTACCAAAAAAAAAATGGTGATTTCATATGATTCAACCTGGTTGCATATGTTACATGCCCTAACACTGTTTTACTGATTTTAAAACCCTGACCTTAGGGAGCCATTCTTCCTCTGATCACTGCTTTCTTTACATTAACCATTGGTTTAAAAATCCATTCTAGAGTATTACTAGGGAATCAATTTGGGGCTGTCTGTGTTTTGTTGATAGTGTGAGACATGGTGGAGAATTAATTAAGTAGCTTTATTAGAAAGTGAATTCGAAAAAACCTGAAAGAGGATTTTCGCAAAATGAGTAGAGGAACTCATAACAAATGGTTTGTTTCCCTTCTTATCTTAAATGTCATACTAGTTTATTATTTCTTGTTCATTGTCAAATAACAGATTTGAAACCCACTTCTTTTGTGAATTGGCAGCAATCACACCACTTCGTAGAAACTAGGTATTTTGAATATCCTTTATCTGCCAGGTACTTATATTTCATTGTACCGTGTCACTAATCTATGACCTTTTATATCATACAGTCAGGATATAGTTGCTCATTTCTTTTTCTCACCCATGGGATTAGAGCTGTATTCAGCTAGTTCAAATGATAGAATTATGGAGGATTAAAAGAAAAATAATGATTTCGAATTGTGGAATAGCAGTATTTGGGGGAAAAAACTCTTTGATAGTGGTTAGAAGAGCTTGAAGATATTTTAATATTTCATTTCCTTATCCAAATTGAAAAGAAAAAAACCCTTTAAACATAAAACATTTTGTATAAGGACAACCATTTAAAGATACACATTAAAAGTTATAATTTTATGTATATGTTTATGATATATATATAGAAGCTTGTATCAGTATATAGTCTGGAGTTTAAAGCAAAACATTACGCAGTTTTACTCTGCATAGAAGTGACAGTTTTGAAAAGACTTGTCAATGTAAACAGTAATCAATTTGTGATTGAGAATCTTGTCTTTTAAATGTCTAGGCTTCCATATCATTAACTGTTTCCACTAAGCTTACAGAGGTTTGAGACAGGTACCTCCTAATCGTTCATGAGAATAAGCCCATAGATTTTTTTCTTTAATGTACATTATTATAAAGGAAATTAAAATTGATCCTTAAACTACAGTGGAGGAAACTTTCAAAATCAGGACTGTTTTACTTTTACTTTTGAAATCATCTATCAGTCTTTATGTTTATTACTTTTTTCCAGATTCTTCTATCTGGTTTTCCCATCTCCATCTTCCCTGTCTATTATAGTCCAAGACATGTTAATTAAAGCACAGTTTTGGTTACAGAACTGCTTAGACGCCTTCTTTAATGGTTTCAATTATATATATATATATGTTTTTTTGGGGGGGGCTGCTTGCAGGATACTAGTTCCCCAACCAGGGATTGATACCCAGCTACCACACTGAGAGGACTGAGACCTGAGCACTGCATGGCTGGGAATTCCCTCCAAGTCTTCACAGTATAAATTCCTTGCTCCTTTGTTTCTTACTTGGGTCCTCTATGATTAGGCTGTTAGTTTAAGTTCCTAAACCACTGTTTCCTACTTCAGCCCTGTGTGGCCCCGTTTTACAGGCCAGCGCGGTCTCTTTCCTGTTTCAGTACAGTACATCCTCTTCCGCTTGGTGAAGCTCATCTGTTTCTCTGCCTGGAATATTCTCCCTCCTGCTCTTTGTGTTTCGAACTTTATAAAGTCCAGCTTCAATGCTTTTTATTCTTCCACTGAATCTTTCTGATAGCCTCAGCCAGAATGATTCTCCTTCTTTTAAGACACATACCATAACCCAAACTTGGGAAGGGAAGAATAATTAATTATTTTTATGAATGTGCCAATATATACATTCCCTGCATATGGTTTTAAAAGTGTCAGTAATTTTCTAGAAAATTGGTATCAATGTAGATTAGTAATGGTGTAATAAATACTAACATAATTTAAATGGGGGAAAATCCAGTCTTTTTAAAGAGATATATGTGATTTAATAATTTTAATAAAACAAAGTATATATTTACTCTTTTGAAATTTCTTACCTTTGTATTTGTTTTATGTTTAAATATTTTTTCCCCATTGCTTTCTGAAACAAAATCTGATCTTGCTTATGGTTTGTTAAGCTCATGAAAAAAATTTAGTTATAATGATAGTAAAATCGCCTTTAGCTGTAACAGAATGCGTTGTGGTGGAACAGAAAGAATTCAGTGTTGTTATCCATGTTGTCCACTTGATTTCAAACCTTAGTAAATACTTGAACTGAAAAGTTAACTTGTTAAGTGTGACATCTAAACATCTGATTTCTTAACTTTTTTTTTAGTGTGTATAGGACATTTTATGTGAAATTTTGTAATGTTAGATCATTAATTATATATTAATAATTTGTTTATAGAACCTACCTTCTGGATCATCACGTGTTGGCGCCATTAAACTTACCTACATTTCAAAGGTAATTTCTCTGTATTGTCTTACATTCATGCTTGAATGAAGATCCCTTAGAATGAGAGTATGAATGAAAGGAGCTGACTCTTCTCTTTGTCATTTAAGATGATGTTGTGGTTCATATTACACTGAAAACAGTACTTGATTACTATGTTTAGGAAGTTCTTTGGTAAAATTATTTTATCAAATTTAGAGAGAATACAGAGATAAATTATAGAATGTAGCAAATTGGGAGGTTAGCATTAACTTTTATGATTAGGCATATGAATGTCAGAAGGGGAGATTGATCTTTTAATTGTTAGGTTCTGTCTTTGGGAAATCTGGTGAAGATTTTTCTGAATCTGTATTTATTGAAACTAATTTTTAATCTCATTACCTTTTTTTCTTTACATCTTACTTTGAGGAGAATATGAACTATCTTCATGATGAAAGTTGATTTTTTTCCCTCATTTGACTTTGTCTCTATTAATTTCTTTTCAATGTTTGTTGACTTTTCAGAAATTTTTGCAATACTATTTTTCTTTTCAAAAATTTAGATTTGTATTAGGTAGTTTTCCCCCTCTTATTATCTTTTATTAGTGTTTAGGGAACTGAGATAGAGAGATGCTGAGGAACTATTAATAGGTTTGTTTTACAGAAAGTAATAAGCTTGGTGATGACTTGAGATATGAAAGTAGCAAAACAGTATGATTAAATAATATGCATATACATACTGTTATGCATATATTGGGATTTATTAGCAGAGGTCTTCATCAGAGGACCAGTTTACAAGTATGCCTCTGTTTAAAAGAAAAAGATATTTTTGATAAATAAAAAGCTTTGTTATCAGTATCATAATAGAGCTATTCATTCTCACTGACCAAAAAATAAAATAGTCTTTGGACAACAAAAATTACATATTTAAAGGGAACCATTTTACTTTAAAATCGTTATTATGTAAATTTTCAGAAGACAAATTTTGTTTAAATACACCTCAAGTTTTCCTATAAATTTAAGACATTTAGTAATACTTCAGGGTAGATAGCAACTTAAATTCTATAGAGACTATTGTTAGGAAGTGTAGGATTCCACTGTAGAATAAACTGTAGATGCCCCCCAACACCCCACCCCCTCATCAGTTTACTGGATTGCCTGCAGTATACATATACTGCAGTGTAAACATGCTGCCAAGGATTTTTGACTCTTAGTGAAGTGATGTGGAAAGGCCTGCTTTATTGGAATAGGCAGTTGAGGTAGAAATTGCCCATGTGCCTGTATCTTTTCAATTGCTTATTGCCTGGTCTTTTTAAAAATGGGAGGTCTTTTTAAGGATTAAGATATTAATTCAATAAAACAGGCAGACTGGCCACTGCTTTCCCCTCCTCCATTGCTTCCCTTTTGAAATATAACCTTCTCTGTGTAGTGAAGTTTCACCTCTGCCCCATAGTATACTGAAGTTTGAATTGTATGCTTGTACTCTACTTTAGACTTGCCACTTTTCCCTCAGAATTTATCCCTGGAACAAATTTCGTTGTGATTCAGTGCTCTGAATTTGTAGTTGGGATCAGTCAGGAAACCTAAACTTAGAATTCCTTCTGAAGGTACAGAACAGATGCTACAATTCTGAGTTCTGACACTGGGCAGCAGCATGGCAAACAGCCATGAATGGGCTTCCATATGAGCTACTTTATTTAAAGGGCTAGTAGCAACCAGGTGCAGCTAGTTGTTCACTTTCCAAATGGGACCATGTGCTACATAGTAAAGGGGGGGGTCCCTTATCCTAGGGTATTTCAGTGTACAGATGAGGATCCAGTGCCATTTTGGTTTCCTCATTGCAGATTAGTGTCTTCTGGATTTTTGGACTTTATTAAATATACAATTTGGCCCTTACCCACCACCATTTCCTCATGCAGTTAATTTAGAAATATGAAATTTGGGAAGAATTCACGATTTCTTTGGAGTATTCCTTGAGGGTATTTTGAAAATTGCATGAAACCAAAAATGTTTATATGTGTGACATAAAACTTACTGGTTTATTTTCAGTTTCTTCATACTTCCTTTGAAGAAAAAACAATTTTGTTCAAAGAGAGCATGGAAGTAACACTTGTTTTTGTGCATCTTACATTTGGGACCCATGTTCTAAATTTAATTTATAGTTCTTTTTCATTTGCCTTAAAGTTTAACTTTAGATCTATGTGCTAAATGTGTGTGAGCACTGGGAAATCATACATGTGGAAGTTCACACAGTGTTTAAGGTTAATTATAATAGCATATGAAGAAGTGAGTGATTCATTTCTCTCTCTTGTTAGGTTAGCGATGCAACTAAACTAAGGCCAAAGGCTGAGTTCTGTTTTGGTGAGTAGCCGTATTTTATACATTAGTAATTTTAAGTTAGACTAAGATAATTATATCATATTGCAAGAGAAAACAATCACAGAAGGCCCATGACTTTGTCCTGTGGGTTAATGAATTATTCTAAGGCAGATTGCCTTGAAACTATTGTCTGGTGAAGAAGTAAAACTGCTCCCCCACCCCTGAAACCTCTTCCTGTGTCCCATCCCAGTCACAACCTCCTCCCACTCTACCCATGTGTAATCATTATCTAGGCATTTACAGTGATCACATCCAGTGAGATTAATTTTATTATTATTTAATGTTCGGTGCTTAAATAATGGAAAGGATTTAGTTTGCAGCTTATGGGAAATGAGAAGTGCACAGCTTGTGAGCACGGTAGTTGAGGGTATTTGATTAAGTACATTTGATTAAGTGCTCAGTAAACATTTAACAAAGGTCTAGTATATGTGCACTTTACTTGGCACTGGGGCTGTGAGAGTAATAAGAAGCAATTGTTGCCCTTGAGAATCTCCCAGGCTGCAATCTCACAGACAGGTTCAGTCCAGTTCAGTTCAGTCACTCAGTCGTGTCCGACTCTTTGTGACCCCATGGACTGCAGCATCCCAGGCCTCCCTGTCTATCACCAGCTCCTGGAGTTTACTCAGACTCATGTCCATTGAGTCGGTGATGCCATCCAACCATCTTATCCTCTGTCATCCCCTTCTCCTGCCACCTTCAATCTTTCCCAGCATCAGGGTCTTTTCCAGTGAGTCAGTTCTTCGTCAGGTGGCCAAGGTATTGGAGTCTCAGCTTCAGCATCAGTCCTAGGATGAACTGGTTGGATCTCCGTGCAGCCCAAGAGAGTCTCAAGAATCTTCTCCAACACCACAGTTGTAAAGCATCAGTTCTTCGGCGCTCAGCTTTCTTTATAGTCCAACTCTCACATCCATACATGACTACTGGAAAAACCATAACTTTGACTAGATGGACCTTTGTTGGCAAAGTAATGTCTCTGCTTTTTAATATGCTGTCTAGGTTGGTCATAACTTTTCTTCCAAGGAGCAAGCATCTTTTAATTTCATGGCTGCAGTCATTGTTTGCAGTGATTTTGGAGCCCAAAATCAGGTACAGGGTCAGAGAATTATCATTGCATTTATCACAGGTGGTAGATAAAATAGAGTCACAGAAGAAGAGCTTCAGATCCTTTTTTGGGAATCTTGGGAGTCAAGGGAGCCACACTGCTTGAGGCTCACGTGATCATCCTTTATCACTGGGGAGAATAGGTGGGAGGACTCCTGGACAGAGGTGTGCAGGGGAGGAGAACATGGTGTATGGGGGATCTGAACACTGAATGAAGCTGGAGAGAGTGGTGAGAGACTGAAAAGTGAAAAGGCAGAGGAGTTAGGGTGTAATATGTTGGCAAGTGATTTTTTCTTGTTGTTTTTTGGAAAATGAGAGGTAAGAGATTAGAGAACATCTAGAGAGAAGATAGAAGGTGAAGGAAGTTTTTTTGTGTTGATAGGAGAGTTTGATGCAAGGAGACAGGTTAAGTGGTTTTTAAACTACTATTCCTAACATGAGCCTGAATTAGGATAATGGCATTGGGGGAAAGAGGAGGGATGAAGAACATTAGAAGGAAAAGCACAAGGACTTGGTGACTGGACGTGTGGGAACCGAAGGCAAGACAGAGATGACAAATAGGTTTGCTTCAAGGAAAGAAATGGAGGATCTAGCAGAGCTGATTTGATAGGATGAAATATTTAGTATAGGGTGAAATATTTAGTATAGGATGAGATATTTAGTATGGAGTTTCAGTGGTGGAGAAACATCCAAGTGGAAATACTCTGGTGACAGTAATTAGGGACTGGATGGAGCTTGAAGATCAAGAATGGAGAACGTTAGAATCTGTTATCATAGTGGGTATAGTTAAAGCTGGGAGAATCTATATGCTCTCAGTGTGTGGACATTAGTGAGGAAAGGGACAAAAATTAGTAGGAGTTTCCAGCTGACCTCAAAAGAGACTATTTTACATGAAAGTAGAAGATATTTGTTAAATATGTTTTTTTTTGCTTGGGAAGGCTAGGTTTCTTCTGTAGGCAGTATGGTAGGGATAGCATTGTATATGTCCACTCAGAAAGTGTGATACAAGCAGGATATAGTATGAGGATCCTCTGTAATGCTTTTATCACCACTAAGAAGCCATAAAAAATCATGTATTTCTTACATATTTATAATTTTTGGTTGCTAAATCAGAAAATGCCTCAGAACCTTGTTGAATGAAAGGCTCCTGGGGGCAAGTTATGTGACAGAGAACTTTGTATTTTAGAGTATATCATGCCTGTTGGGGTCCTTCAATGGACCGGAACCTGGTGGTACGGAGTCGACGATAAGAAAGTGAAAGAGAGAAAGAGGCTGATATCCCTTGGTTTATGCAGAGGACCAATAAAGTCCTTGACACAGGACTTGCATCGCTCACGAAGGCACCAGGCACCCTCTCAAGGGGGTCTTAGAAGGCTGGGCAGAAAAGTGAGCACGACGGGTCTCCACGCTCCAGAGAGTCAGCCAGAAAGAGAGAGAGAGAGAAAGAGAGAGACACACACAAAAGACCCGGGGACCTAAGCTTGATGAAGCAAAGGTGCTTTAATGAATTTTCTATGAGTATATATAGGCTGCAGTACAAGAAACTTCTTTCGGGAATGATAGAGATCAGAAAACCAAACGTACAGCAACCGTTACCGAGGGAACAAGGGGTAATGTTAGTCACAAGGTCAGGAGACAATCCATATCTCAAGAAAGGGGAAGGAGACTAAGCAGTTTTGTCCTAAAGAGAATGTTTGCTAAAGGAGACCCAAGCTTGCCTCACACAATGACCTCAGTCCCTGGGAGCAGCGTGCTGTTCCGCTTGAAGAGGGACAAAGGACTCATGAGAGACAGCACATAGGAATCCTCCCGTCAAACATTCCCTGACACATGCACACACTCTTGAAAGTCGTTAATGTAAAATCTCAAACATACAATTTGAAGGGCTAGCAGTACACAGGGAAAGATTTGACATTCAGTTATCGCGGTATTTAGAATGAGGGATTTTAATTGAAATCAGAGATTAAGATTAGTTATCTATTGCTCTGCCAGTAGTTTATTAGTCTTCTATTAGAGGGAGAGTTGCTCAGTTGTTTCCAAATCTTTGCAACCCCACAGACTGTAGCCCGCCAGAGTCCTCTGTCCATGGGATTGTCCAGGCAAGAATACTGGAGTGGGTTGCCATTTCCTTCTCTAGGGGATCTTCCTAACCCTCCCCCATCTCCTGGGTCTCCTGCATTGGCAGGCAGATTCTTTTAACATTGCACCACCTGGGAGGCCCCTGTTTGAGGAAGGATTCATAAAATGTTTACCTTCAGGAAGAGGCACTGACTTCTAAAATGGACCCACAACTTCCATTAAAAATGGCAGCATAAAGACTTTCCTCCCTTTTTTTGGTTCTTGTTCAGTTGCTAAGTCGTGTCCAACTCTCTGCTACCCCATGGACTGCAGCACGACAGGCTCCCCTGTCCTTCACTGTTTCCCAGAGTTTGCTCAGATTCATATCCATTGAGTTGGTGGTGCTGTCTAACCATCTCATTCTCTGCTGCTTCCTTCTCCTCCTGCGTTCAATCTTTCCCAGCATCAGGGTCCTTTCCAGTGAGTCAGCTGTTTGCATCCGGTGGCCAAAGTATTGGAGCTTCAGTGTCAGCATCAGTCCTTCCAGTGACTTTTCCTCCCCGCTTTCCTCTCACATTCCCCCTAACAGTGAGAACAAGAAACATTCAAACCATATTCCCTGAAACGAACAGATTTCTGTTAATTCACAGTGTATAAAGATGGGAAGTGGATGGAGGAGGAGGAAATAACTTAGCAGAGTAGAAGAGGCCCCTGAAAAGCTAGCCATTTCGATATCCTGCCCCCACGCCAACTCTGGACAGACTAGGTGCTGGATCCTGTCTGGGTAAGCATCAGAGAGGAGGGACCCAGATCAGTGACTCTGTTTGCATGTCTCTGTAGAAACAACCTCTGGTCCCTACCTCCAGCTGGCTCAGGCAGGCAGCCACCCTTCCCCCATCCCAGCAAGGAATGGCATGTGTAGTATCTCCCGAAATAGAATCAGTGAGGCTATGTGCCTGGGGACAGTAGTTCCAGAGAAGAGGGGGTATGAGGCATGAAACGGAAAACAGGAGGATTAAATAAAAGTCTGCACACCGAATGCAATTCTTTCCTATGTCCAGGCCCAGAGCATCGGGCAGCCAGGCGGAAGTGGGGCAAGAATCTGAACACTCCAGAGAAGAGAGCCATAGGTATTGACAGCTGGCATTTCTGTCAGAGGGGCTTGCTGTACAGTGATGCTCACCAGTCAGAATCCCTACATAATATTCAAGAGAACTTCCAAGGAGTTTTTTGGTATCTTGTTTTTAAGTATGAATGGCCAGCCCAGAATTATATGACATTTGAGGGGAAAAAACTGTCAAATAGGAAAAAGAACATGAGACTGTGAAAAACTCAGAAGAACAAGTCAAAGAAAGCTAAAAATGAAGCAGGTAGTAGGAGAGAAATAAGAAGATTAAATTAGAGGCTCCCTTCAGAAAACTGATGTGTGACTAATAGAGAAAGAAAGGACGAGAAAGAAGAGGGAACAGAGAAAACAGGAGAAAATTGGCAAAGAAATATGATAAAATGTCTCATAACTATTTTATCCATAACCGTATTTGAACCATAGCAGTTGATCCTTGGTTGTGAGATGATTTTTATTTTGAATCAAGCTAATGTTTGTGCTTCAGGTTTTATCCATTTGATAACATTCACTCTGATGGTTAAGATTTGAAATGAAATAAGGGAGGTACTTAAGTGAAAAGCTAGTAAGTGTGCAAGCCTCTGCTCTACATTCATTGTACACAATGAAAGCTTTGCTTTAAAAGCGTGGAAACGTAACAGGTTTCATACAGTTTATCATTATTCTTATTAAAAGTATTTTTCCTTCCTTTGCCTGTCCACCTTTTCCCCATCACTGTTAATAAAATTTTTCGTAAGTTGCTCTAGCATTTTTCACAATGCTTCCTTACTTGGAAATCTCCAGATGATACTGATGATCATGAAGGTGATGAAGATGGTGACAAGGAGTTTCTGTTCTCTCCCAAGCCCTGTGCTAGCTTCTTTACACACATCACCTTCACCCTCAAAGGAGGGATGGGTTACATTCTATTTCATAGATGAGGAAAACAAAGAGTCAGAGATTAAATAGATTTTATAAGATGGGATTGCTAGTAAGTGCATGAGCTAGTTAGGTTTGGTTAGCTCTAGGCTCAGATTTTCCCTGCTGTCAAATCACTATGCCTCTTCCTGCCATGAAAATAATTCTTAAAGCACATGATTTTTTATTTAGACTGTAAATTGTGCTAAGATTCTTTTTAGAGGTATATTTACCTCTCTTCTTTCCCTTAAAAGATACTTTTCTATAAATGTTACTTATTCAAAAAATATGTATTAAGCACTTCCTTTATAGCAGGTATAGTATATTACCAAGTGCTTAGAATTGTATACTCTTCAGATGTCTAGGCAATGCCCAGAGTAACATTGAGCGGGAAAAAGCCATTATGAGGGGAGTGCAGCTTCAGCCTAAGTTGGAAAAGCTTATAAAGGATGCTTTACTGAGTGTTGGAGATTAAAAACAAAAACTATATATTGACATATATAATAGTCTAGTGAGTTACTCACTTATCTTAATTTATATTTATGGCATTTTTAATTTCTCATCACTAGTAAGATATAAAAGAACAGATTTATAGTGTGTTAAATTTCTTTAGGTCCAGACTAATTGTTTTATAGCCCTTCACAAGATAAGATGTGTGTCAATTCAAGGAAGCTCTGCTTTAGTATCTTGTTCTCAGTCTTAGTTTCATAATTTAGTGTATTTGAGAAGCCTTTCCTCCTCTGCCTCACGTTCAGCTGAGTGTTAGTATGCTATTTAAAATTTTTTTGGAGATGTATAGAAGTCATTAAAAAAAAGTATATTAAAAAAAAAAATTACAGCACCGTAGCTGTTCAGATGCTTTAGCTCTTAGAATATTTTTTTAAAATAAATCATGTAATATATAATTAATAAGCTTTAATTTTAACATTGACTATAATAGTTTGTTGACAACTATATGCAGGAATGCTTTGCTTCATAGAAGCAGTAGTCACTAAATGGGTATATGTAAATTAAACTGCATAAAAAGTTCTAAATGTGTTAAGATTATAAACATAGAATGCATAAGTACTAGAAAAATAAAGGTTTATTTTTATAATCTTGAGTCAGGGAGACTTTCTAAATATCACATGAAAGCTAGAGTCTTTAAAGAAAAAGATTGATAGGCTATTTCTGATTCATTAAAATACTGTGAACTAAGTGACAAGACTAATGATAGACAGGGAAAAGTACTTGAATTAGAACTGAAAGGGTTAATATAAAAGTTCTTCAGTTCAATTCAGTCACTCAGTCTTGTCTGAGTCTTTGCGACTCCATGGACTGCAGCACCCCAGGCTTCCCTGTCCGTTACCAACTCGCAGAGCTTACTCAAACTCATGTCCATTGAGTTGGTGATGCCATCCAACCATCTCATCCTCTGTCATCACCTTCTCCTCCCATCTTCAATCTTTCCTAGCATCAGGGGCTTTTCCAATGAGTCAGTCCTTCGCATCAGGTGACCAAGGTATTGGAGTTTCAGCTTCAACATCATCCTTTCAGTGAATATTCAGGAGTGATTTCCTTTAGTATGGACTGGTTGGATCTCCTTGGAGTCCAAGGGACTCTCAAGAGTCTTCTTCAACACCACAGTTCAAAGGCATCAATTCTTCGGCGCTCAGCTTTCTTTATAGTCCAACTCTCACATCCTTACATGACTACTGGAAAAAACATAGCTTTGACTAGATGGACCTTTGTTAGCAAAGTAATGTCTCTGCTTTTTAATATGCTGTTTAGGTTGGTCATAGCTTTTCTTCCAAGGAGAAAAGCTCTTATAAATAAAAGCTTTTATAAATCAAGAAAAAATACATGAATGATTCAGGAGAAATATGGGTAAAGAAAATAAACAGAGCTTACAAACAAGTGTAGACAACCAGTAAACATACAAAACTAATTTGTCTCAGTAATCAGAGATCCAGATTTAGACAAGCTATAATTTTTTACCAATTAGGTGGACAGAGAGTCAGGAAAACACACCACACTTGGCGTTTCAAACCCAGGGGATTTGTTACAGGGAATTGGTTGACCAGATGTTGAGAGGCTGAAGGCACAGGAAGGGAATGCTGAAGTAACCCAGCGATTAAAAACTGTATGAAGCAGCTTCCATCACCAGGGCGGGAGAGAGGAAAGGGAAGAGGTGATATTACTAGAACCTAGGACTTGCTGAGGGGACTTCAAGGCTGCTGTAGGGAGCAGCAGAAGAGCTTGGAGCCACAACTGGCTGTGTGTTGCTGCTACTGAAGGGGCGTCAGCAAGAGCAGTCCCCTCCCCCACTTTCCTCCCACCTCTGTCTCCCACCAGTACCACCCATTATAGCAAGACATGGCCCAGGCTGGCAAGGAAGTCTGGGAAATAATGTCACAGCATCTCGGGGCTGAAAACAAGAGAGGTGCTAGTGAGGAATGTTAGATAATCGAGGCCTTTGGATACACTGTTGGTTGGATTCAACCTTTGGGGAAGACAGTTTACTAATACCTGTAAACATGTTAAATGTGAATTTTCTTCTTATTGAAGCCTATGGTAAGAAATCTATCCTATAGAAATGCTAGCCAAAGTGTGGAAAAGTATACATACGTGATGTTTCATTGGGATATTTTACATAGTTTCAAAAATCAGAAATGGTCTAAATGTCCATCATTAGACGATTGGCTAAGTATATTGTGGTATTTTTACATTTAGTGAGAAACGTGACCATTAAAAATTAGAGTCTTATTGATAATAACTCTATGTTATTGAGTGATGAAAGCAATATCATATATAGTCTAACATTCTGTCAAATTCAAGAGTCACAGTACTGAAGCTGGCAAGGTTTTTCAGCTGCCGCAGACATATGTCTAGGTAATAAGTACACAGTTTCACCTGTTGTAGTTTGTTTTTTCTTTCAACAGTTATGAATGCAGGGATGAGGAAATATTTCCTACAAGCCAATGATCAGCAGGACCTAGTAGAATGGGTGAATGTGTTGAACAAAGCTATTAAAATTACAGTAAGTATTTGTATTTTTTGTGTGAAAAAATTTTATTATCTTCACGTGATCTTTACAGATTGTACAATATACCTACCGAGTGTCCTTAGCTTACCAACAGTTTATCCCAGAGTTCCTCAAAGTTTGTTTAAAAGACAGGTTATAATATGAATGTTTTTTCTTGTTTTAACACTATGGTAACTTTTGCCGTTAAAAATCAACCCACTGATGCCTTTTTAACCCATTGTGTACCTAATAAAGGTCTGTATTACTGTAGATTTTAACTGCTGTTTATACTAGTGTTTCTAAGGGAAAATGCAGGTAGAGTTCTACCTTTTGGATATGTTTTCCCCCTGCACCCCCGCAGGGAAGATTAAAAGACTTCTTGCCACCTATCCAGGGAATAGAAATGGCATTCTGTCTGCCTTTTAAGCCATGACTGGGACTGGTCCTAGGTAGATAGGAGTTGAAGATAGGAGCAGGACAAGGCAGTGAAGGGCTTAGAGAGGACTTCAGGGATGGGGACTGATCTGAAGAACTGCAGTAGCCAGAGGCTCCTGCCTGCGCGGTCCTTGGGGGTTTGACTCAGGCTTGAAAGTTTTTGTCGCACTGCTTTTTTCCCTTCAGTTCCTGGGCACTCATTTTCTGTGCTGCAGTTTCCTGCTTCCAACTCGGGCTTCTCTTCTTGATTTTCTGATGAACATTAATATGTGTTGTTTCTCTGTAGTGTGCCAGGCCTTGCACTGATGTACCTGAAAAAGTGAGGCTTAGAAGGATTGAGTGACATTTATAGGTTCAATAGCTGTTACATTGTGGAGCTGTGAGCCACACCATCTGCTTGACCCTGGAGCCTAACTCTGAAGCTCAGTGCCTCACTGCTTCCTGAAAGAACGAGCCTCCATCCTTCTTCTCTGACCCTAAAGCAGAACACAGACTTCTGGGAGAGTTTAGTACTGCTGCTGCTGAACAAGTGACGGGAACTGTTCCCTGATGAAGCCTCTCCTTCCCTTTCCCCTCTTACACTCTGTTGGAGAAGCACACACAGCAGGCCCATAGGGGAAGAATGGGGAAGGAGGTCCTGGGTGAGGTTGTCTAAATTGAAGGGTGTTTACTAAAATGAGGTTATTTACTGACCCAATGTGACTTACTCTTTAAAAACATATGCCCTGACAGTCAGCATATGTTTGTTTCCATTTAGATGAATAATTCCATGTTTATATCATAACACAATAAAGAGTTAATGTAACTAAAGCTGTTCTCAGAGTTAGGTCGATTTTTTTGGGTCTTGCACCAGAACAGCTTGTTACCACATGACAGAAAACACCCACGCACTGCATCTGATCTGTACATGAAGCAGAAGTTATTTTAGGTTTGTGCAGTTTCAGGAAAGCAATTTTCAAAAAACTGATTCAAAAGTGCATTTTCTTAAAAGGTTTAACTGATTGTTTTTGACTCTTTGCAAATATCCCTATTTGGGAAATTTTTAATAAAGACAATATGTAGTAATTTCACTGAAGTAATTCTTTTTTTTTTTTTTTTTTACAATTTGCAATGAGCAGTAGCATTGGTTTCTTAGTGCTTTAAGAGAAAAAAGTAGTCAATTGAATGGTCTCAGACTTTTTACCATTTGGGAGGTCTTTTGAACTGCTGTATCTAATTTATTAATGGTATGAAACTGTCTTATACAACTGACACTTTAAGCTTACTTAAATGCACAAGAAACTGATTAGAAATTGGGTAGTGTGTCAAAGTATGTGGACTCTTAAATAGCTTTTGTGGTCTTGTAGCTGTTGTTGAAACTTTTATAGTTTAAAAATGAATCTGTTGTATATGTGTTTTTATAATTCACATTTAGAAAATATAAATTTAAGATACAGAAATCCATGCTTGTCAACGAAGTGGCGAAGTGGTTATAACTATGTTAAATTGATTATAGAATGGGTACACTTAGTAAAAATTGGTTTTATATAGGTACACATTAACTCATAAGATAGCAATGAAAGAATTTCCCATGCTTTAATAAGAAACATTTTCTTTCACTGTTCTTTAAAAAAAAATCTTACCAGTGTTAATTTCATATGCATTTAAGTGCAGAATCTTTAATCTAGTGTACTTCCCTATGGAAGTTGCTGGTAATTTACATGTAGATTTCTTTGTAAATTTCAAGTTCCTATTTTAATATATGTACAGTTTACCTTTCTATGGAGTCACTCCAAGTGACATTTGGTAAACTGTGTAATTTAGTAGTCTGCTGAGTACAATGTAATATATACACTTGAAAGTTTTGGAAATTCAAAATTAGGTTTTGGAGGTATATGGTTTCAGAATAGAGGTGATTAGAGGACAGTGGGTAAGGGAATGGTGATTATCTATCTACTTACTAATTATAGTACCATACCATCTTAATGGACCATCCTCTAGCACCATAGTTCATGGCTTTCCTCACTTTCATGAATTCTGTGTGACTGTGTGTTGGTGGCTGTCATTAAAACAGTTTCCCCCTTACTTACAAAAAAGAGAGAAAGAGCAATAGGAGAGAAACCAAAAAGCAAGAGAGTTCCAGAAAAACATCTACTTCTGCTTTATTGACTATGCCAAGGCCTTTGACTGCGTGGATCACAACAAATTCGAAAATTCTTGAAGAGATGGGAATACCAGACCACCTGACCTGCCTCCTGAGAAATCTATATGCAGGTTAGGAAGCAACAGTTAGAACTGGACATGGAACAACAGACTGGTTCCAGATTGGGACAAGAGTCCGTCAAGGTTGTATGTTGTCACACTGCTTATTTAACTTATATGCAGAGTATATCATGAGAAAGGCTGGGCTGGATGAAGCACAAGCTGGAATCAAGATTGCTGGGAGAAATATCAATAACCTCAGATATGCAGATGACACCACCCTTATGGCAGAAAGTGAAGAAGAACTAGATAGCCTCTTGATGAAAGTGAAAGAGGCGAGTGAAAAAGTTGGCTTAAAACTCAACATTCAGAAAGCTAAGATCATGGCATCTGGTCCCATCACTTCATGGCAGATAGACGGGGAAAGAGTGGAAACAGTGGCAGACTATTTTTTTGGGCTCCAGAATCACTGCAGATGGTGACTGCAGCCATGAAATTAAAAGACACTTGCTCCTTGGAAGAAAAGTTATGACCAACCTAGATAGCATATTGAAAAGCAGAGACATTACTTGACCAACAAAGGTCCATCTAGTCAGGGCTATGGTTTTTCCAGTAGTTGTGAATGGATGTGAGAGTTGGACTATAAAGAAAGCTGAGTGCCGAAGAAATGATGCTTTTGAAATGATGCTGTGGTGTTGGAGAAGACTCTTGAGAGTCCCTTAGACCTAAAGGTCCATCGTAAAGGAAATCAGTCCTGAATATTCATAGGAAGGACTGATGCTGAAGCTGAAACTCCAATACTTTGGCCACCTGATGCAAAGAACTGACTCATTGGAAAAAAAAAAACCTGATGCTGGGAAAGATTGAAGGCAGGAGGAGAAGGAGATGACAGAGGATGAGATGGTTGGATGGCATCACCAACTCAATGGACATGAGTGTGAGTAAACTCTGGGAGTTGGTGATGGACAGGGAAGCCTGGTGTGCTGCAGTCCATGGGATTGCAAAGAGTTGGACACGACTGAGCAACTGAACTGAACTGAGAGGAACCAACCTTGAAGGAAGTATTGATGACTAGAATTTGGAAAGTCAACTTTTCAAAGTATACTTTGAACTATTTTTATTGATGCATATGGCGTATTCCTAAATAGAAACCTACTATTTTTTAAAATAATGTCTTTTCCCACTGTAGGTTTTGATTTAAAAAATCAGTATTTGATTTTAATCTAAAAATAAGTGTTTTGAAATTATGGCCAAACTTCCACACTTTTTAAAAAATTTTAATTGGCAACTGGGAGTAGATAGAATAACCTGAATACAGGACTTCTGTCTTACCAAGATGGTGTATATATGTAATCCAAAGTGTAAGGCTTTATACTTGTGTTTTTCAGCCTGTAGGTAGAGCCCTTAGAAAGCTCCTATCATCCTGGAGTTTGTTCCTGAATGTTTTAGGTTTCAGTCTTCAGGCTTGCCATTTTGTTCATCTCTTCTCTAGTCATTTTTACCTTTTCTTTTTCTGCTATTAGAATTTCCTATCATTAGGATCATGTGCAGATGCTTGCCAAAAATACATGCAAATCTGTCACAGAAAAACCATCACAGCAATCATGGATGGGAAGCAGGGACGAGGGGATAAGCAATCGGCAGTGAAACCAAGCATGTTCGGTGTCTGACATTTCCCATCTGTCTAGTGAGGTCACTTTTCTGATTCTCATTACAAGTTGCCTGACTGGTTTTTTTGATTCTGAAAATGTGTTTATTTTAATGACTGCATTGAGAGCTAACTTTTCTTTCAGAATTTTTAAGGGAATTGCTATATTCATGAGTATTTTGCTTATATTTTTCTTGCTCTTAGAAATGTTTACAATTTAGATAATTTTAATTCAAAAATGTAATTCTAAGTCAATTGTTGAGCTATAACATTGGAATTATGCTGTACTTAGCATTCTGTTATAAGGATAAATGAGAAGCAGTGGGTTTAACAGTATAGGCAAGAGGTTTTTAATATACTATCATTTCTAGAAGAAAAATGAAAAAAAAAGCCAATGTAAATTTTAATATATTTTTATGGAGATATTAAAGGTATTTTCTTAGGAAATTCTCACATATGACTAAACCCTCAACTTCTTGAAAGAGGGAGTAGCCACTTTTTGTATGGGTCACCTTTCAGCAGCACATTGCAGCTAATACAAATGTTGGATAGCTAATTCTCTCTGGTTTCAAATTCTCTTAATGCATTTTTCTGTTCTTATGATAGCATGGCCACATTTTCTGTCAGAATAACTGAAGTAGATGATGCTCTTCACTAGTTCCCCCTTAACACTGGGACTTCTTAGCAGATTGCTTCTGGCATAGTGAACTTTCTATAGCCCTTTAACTCTTTAAGTATTTTTGCGAATCTTGGCAAGTAAAATTCTGTCTGTAGTCATGTTGTCTTTAAAAAGCTCTCCAAAACGTGCAACCTCTTAGATACAATCTCTTAGGAGAATTCAGAAAACTTTCCCCTCCAGAATTCATTTCTCTTCCCTGTCCTTCTTATTTCCTTCATTCTTTTGTTTCTGCCCACAACTGGTATTATAGTTTAATTATGGATGAGAGGGTGGAGGGTTGGCCTAAGGCCTTGGGAGAAAGCCTTTGGGGGAACATCTAAAGAAACAGGATCCCCTGTCCTCAGGATTTGCACAGTGTTGGGCAGGAATGGAGGAACGGGAAAGGTAACAGCACAGAGCTATAATACATTCTCAAGTGCTCTGATAAAATGGGGATGTCGTTATAGTGGTTAAATGTGAAAGAGAGTTATACAAACTTAGCTAGAACGTGGACCAGCCAGGATCTAGACTTACATTCCCTGATGCCTCTTGAGCCTGTTTTCTTACTGCTGTGGTGATGCTCCTCCTGTGCATAGGATTGACAGGAGGATTAAAAGGGAAAATATATGAAATAGTACCTGCCCAAGTAAGCACACAGTAAATGATGGCTGTGTCATAAATACTGTAAAAGAAAAATCAGTATGCAAACTTAAAAGGTTATATATATATACAAAAAATAATTTTTATATATACCAATTATATATAGACTTATGATTGGTTGGAAATTCTGTGATAAAAGAGGATCTCAGATAATGCTTGTTGCACAATGATTCATCGACTTACTATTTTAGGTCCCAAAGCCGTTAGACTCACAGCCTCATCCTGATAACCCAAGTCGCCAGGGCGAATGTGGAAAGAAGCAGGTCTCTTACAGAACTGACATTGTTGGTGGTGTGCCCATCATTACCCCAACTCAGGTAAGAAATCAGTTCTTCTATTGTGTGATGGTTTATCTACTGCATATTGATTTTTTTGTTATCAAAAGTAAATGGTACATCTTTATTGAATAAATGCAGTAATTAAAACATAAGACTTTTATACTTATTTCAAAAGTATGTTTTTATTGTAAAAAATCTGGAAAACATAGGTAAACAACATTTAGCACTTTATATGTTCTCTTCTGAGCCTTTCTTTTAGACCCTTTTGCCCCATAGAAATGTAAATACTTTGTAAACAGCTTTTTTTTCTTAGGTCTGAAACATTTTCCAAGTCACCAAAAATTGTTTCACATCATTTATCATGACTGTGTAGTAGCTTTATTCCTAATCACCCAAACGTGGTAGTAACCCAAGTGCCCTTTAATGGGTGATATAGCCAATGGGACGTCCAAACCGTGAATGTTGCGCTCAGTGAGAAGGGTCGAACAGTTGGTACAAGGACCAACCTGAATGAATTCCCTGGCGAATAATACAGTGTGGCAAATGCCAATCTCAAAAGCCCACCTACTGTATGATTCCATTTGTATTAAATTCTCTAAGTGTCAGAACAATAAGGATGGAAAACAAATTAATGGGGGCCAAGCAGTTGGGGATGGAGGCTCTAAAGGGGCAGCCTGGGGGAGCCTTGGATGCTTCTGTGCCGCGGTGGTGGCGGGGACGCAGATCTGGTAGTAACACTGCAGAGAAGGATACACTCACAGGGACAGGTGAATGCCTGTGAAACTGGGGAAAAACGAACAAGGTCTGTGACATGTTCAGTGTCTGTTTTGATAATGTGCCATAGAATAGTTTTCCCTGTTTGGAGAAACTGGTTGAAGGGCACATAAGACCTCCTGTAAATTGTGTTTTTACAACTTCCTGTGAATATTTATAATTATTTCAAATTAGAAAGTTAAACTCCAGCATCCCCTACCAAAAAAAAAGTGCTGGTGGCAAGACTTTTGCAGAAAAAGAGAGATAGAAATCCAGGTTTTAATCATTGTTGTTAAAAGTTATGATTAAGTATCTCAAATTAATTAGAAAACACTTGAAGATCTGTTTTCCTGACTAATGGATTTTAAGATTGCTGGGATAACAACATGAACTGCAATATGCTTTTAAGCGAAACAAGCAAGAAAAGACTATTTTGCTTCATTCTAGAAAGAAGAAGTAAATGAATGTGGTGAAACTATTGACAGAAATAATTTGAAGCGGTCACAAAGCCATCTTCCTTACTTCACTCCTAAACCACCTTCAGATAGCGCAGTTATCAAAGCTGGATATTGTGTAAAACAAGGAGCAGTGGTGAGTAGTTTAACAAAGTATGTGAAATAATGAAAAAGGAGTATTCATTAGCAAACTCTCAACATACACATGGTTTGCTTTGTTTTGTGAAAGACCAGCTTGCTGACCAGGAGTCAGGAGAGGGCATAGGGGTTATTCTGTGTTCAAAACTCAGTGCTATTATTTTCTTGGTCTGTAGGCGGCTGGGTAAGTTAATGCCCATTACAACTAACCTGCAATTTTAAATGAGCTTTCCTAACAATTTAAATTTATTCCAGGAAGTGTTTCTGTTGATTTTTTTTACCCCCTTGGGAGTGGGTCAGGGAAAGGGAACTCTAGTAGGAAGATAACAGAAAAGGAGGGCAAGGAGGGTGGGGTGTGGATCACTTACTCGGTGCAGGGTTGGGCTGACCTGAGTTGAAAATGCTGAGACCTTTGGTTTCTGACTTAACCTCTCAGGCTCTCAGTTTCTGTTTGTTTGTTTTTTGGGTGTGTGTGTGTATGTAGAAAATCATATTATAAAGCCTACCATCCAGAAGGTTTTTTGAAAGATGTAGATGAGAGAGCTCGAAGCATAGCACCTGGTCATTAGTAAGAGCTGTTACTGGTTGGCCGAGATAATAGATCGGTGATAGGAAACTGTGGAAAGAGCAAGTACATTCACCAGTATTGCTACAGTTCCAAAGTGCCCTTCTAAAATATGAACTAAGTCTAAATTTTCATGAGAAAATAAACTTCAAAGTTTAGAAAAAAAGTTAAAAAGATTTTTTTACTTAAATGTGTACTGGCAGTTCAGCTTGAGCTTATAGAATAACTTCTGGCAACTCTGGTGAGCTCAGGCCAACCAAGGCAAGTTCTTTCACTCCTAATGGTTTGACCCTCTCTAGGCTACAGGAAATGAAGGTTTTTCATTCTTGCATGTCTGTAGATCAAATCAGAATTCTCATCAGGCTGTGTGTTAATTAGGGCTCTTAAGGAGACACTCCTTTCTGTTGTACTTTTAAATCCAAAATACTGACCTTTAGAAAATCTGAAGCGCTTTCACAAAAACTATATTTCATTGACAAAAAATATTTATACAGAGTAGGTTCATTTTATTAAACGTGTTACTTTACTAGTTAGTATTATAAAGTACCTGTTGAGGATTCATGCATTTTGTAGATGAAGAAGTTTGATGTAGTTTAATAACATTTCCTGTGCTTGCTGTTGAACTCTTGACAGTCTTAACTTTGTGGGGAATGCAGGGGGTAGGGAAGTACTTTCTTTGTTTTTGGGTTTTTTTTTTTTTTTTTAACTTTCAGAGCATCAAAAATGTAAGACCATATTATAAAAGCATATAATAAGAGCTAAAAGTCAAGCACCAAAGTTGAATTAGAAGTTCAAGGCCTGAGTAGCAAGAGATGAAATTTCCTGTATCTCCTCTTCTAAGGGAGGGTAGTGAGGTTTTCCGGTGCTTGACATTTCTGATTGTGGGTTCATATCAGAAGAATTAAGTGGTTATTAACATTTGACATCTTAGAAACAGAAGCCTTATGTCTGTGTTCATCTCTGGTAGATGAAAAACTGGAAGAGAAGATATTTTCAATTGGATGAAAACACAATAGGCTACTTCAAATCTGAACTGGTATGTTGCTTTGTCATAAATGTTTCTTTAAAAAGGTTTTAGAAGTGTTACACTGTGGTAATTATATAATTTCTTGTCCTCTTTTCTATTTTTAAAATAATTAAATTTTGGAGATATGTACAGTTCACTGTATTTTGTTGTGATGCTTTTGGTTAATGGCATTTTTGTTCAATACATCTTAAGTAAAAAGAGTGTACCTTCAAAGGCATTCTACTCTGAAAGAATTAAAAACATCAGAACCCCTCAGTCTACACATTTCCTCTAAAGGAGCCGTGGAGGAAATGCGAGAAAGTCCACATTTGACCCTCTGTATTTCTGCCTTCTCTTCCCTGCCCTCCCTTGACATTTTCTCTTCCTATTTCAGATTGACTTTTATGTTTCTTCACATAAGATGTTTTTGTCCCATCTGAAGGTAGAATCAAAGATTGAAGTTCCCTCTTTCACTTGTTTGAGTAGTATCCTTATTTAAAATACTCTTGTCACGTGACCTGTGTTCTGCAGTAGACTGTTGGATAAATTGAATGCAGTTCTGCATCTTCTCTGATGGACGTTTGACAGAGGAATCACATACCTTAACGAAGGCACAGAGTGGCACTGTCCAGGTGGACTTTGCACTAATAGAAATGTTCTGTCATCTGCCTTGGCCAGATCTAGTGGTACCTGTGGCTGTAAAATACAGCTGGAAATACGGCCACTGTGACTGAGGAGCCTGACTATATTTAATTTTAAAGTTAAAACCAGTCACATTTAATATTCTTTTAATTCAAATAGTTACACAGAGCTAGTGACTCCTCGGGGACAACAAAGCACTGGAGAACAGGAAGGGCGTGTTTTAAGATTCATCTCAGGAGTCTGTTCTTCTGGAAAACCTGCATGCCTTTCCTTTACATATGTGGTACCCGATGCCCACTGCAGTCATAACACTTCCCACTGTGGTTTGTTACTGTGTATATATTTGTCTTTACCAGTTAATTGCACCAGCTTCTTGAAAGCAAAGATTCTCTTTTGGACCCTTTTATCAACACAGTGCCTGGTACTTAGAAAATAATCAACAAGTATTTTGAATGAATTGAAAAATGGCTTAGCATAACAGGAATAACCATTTAGCACGGGACCCTTTCTTAGATTTCAAAATCTAAGAGGCTTAACTGGAAGCAGTAGTTACTTGGTGCAAAAAGTACCAGCCTTGGTGTCTTAGAGACTGCACTTTTGCTTGGTTGACAGGTTAACCGATTGCTTTCAGTTGATGCCAGTCCTTGTGGGAAGAGTCATTCCCACACCAGATACTTCTTGAGCCCTTTATGGCCCTAGGAACTGGGAATAAAGAGGCCAATCAGCATTGTTCTGGCCTTCAAGAGTTCAGTTTTACCAGAGAAATCAACATGTCACCCACTGTAGTTATAAAAAGACAAGAACTATTATAGACATATTTACTCTAATTCGAAAACCTGCATTTTATAGCATAATAAAGCACCTGAAGATTTGAGGGATCCTTCCGTATCCTCTTTTCCTCCCATCAATCCCAAACAATTCAGAGTAGATTTTGTAGGTGAGGCAAATCACTGCAGGTGTCCCTGGTAGTGGGGCAGAAGCAGGAGGAGCTAGAGTAGCCAGTGTGGGCAGCCAGAGTCCAAGCGGACGAAGAGGCCGTCCTGGAGGTGATCTTAACATGCGCTACTTTCTAAAACTATGGTTTAATTATTTTGTTAGTGCTGCATAAAATAATGGTATGTCTTAAACTCATGGCATGTCATTTTCGGTGAAATACAGTATACAGTATTTCATGAAGTGTTTACTGTGAATACCATGCCAGCTAGGAACTAGTTATGTCACATTCGAACCTTGTATCTGGTTTTGTAGCCTTAATTGAAGTAATTAGTATGTCTAATCCTGCTTGCTCAGGGGAATAACAGTGCGTGTATTCTAGGGTTGTGGAAAGTAGGGTGACACGTTTAAAACCTAGCACGTGTCCTGTCACTTAGTACATGTTTAATAAACTGTGTTTGTTAAAAAGACAAATTTAACTCAGAGAAGCTGCATATTCACTACTCTGGTCCCTTCTATATGGAAAAAAAAGAGAAAGTACTCACTGGGTCCATAGCGGTTCATCGAGGAAAAGATGGATGATTATTGGCTTTTAATCAGCTTACACTATCATTTAGGACATCAGTAATGTGAACATGGGTTATATGTCAGTTTCCTTGTTTCAAACCACAGTGTATATAAGGTTATAATGTTTGAGCCCTTCTAATGCTAGATGGTTCAAGAAGGTAGATTTATGTCTTAGATGTGCTTCAGGAAGGAAGCATGATTTTCACAGTAGATCTCCAAATAAGACAACTAATGATTGAAAGGATTTTAAAAATGTATGTCATATATCCGTTTTTATTTGCTTTTTTTCCAATAGGAAAAGGAACCTCTCCGTGTAATACCACTTAAGGAGGTTCATAAAGTCCAGGAATGTAAGCAAAGGTAAGCACCACCTCATACTTAGTGGCTAACACAGCTGTTAGCACACAGTATATAGTTCCTCAGCTTAATTGATGCACTTTCAGATGATATTTTTCTATATTACTGCCAGTGAGTTTTGCTAAAACTTTCAAAGCCTTCAGGTTAAATACTGAGATTTTTTTGTTTGAAAACTACAAATTAAGGAACAATTCTTAAGCTTATTAATGGAAAGGACAGAATTTAATATAAACAACTTCTGTCATACTTGACAGATTGATGTATTATTAATTTTAGTATTTCAAGGTTGCTGCAAAATAGGGCTTTAATAAGAGAATATGTTAACTGTGCCACTGTTTCTTTGACCAGACTCTTTCTTCACAGTTGAAAACTTTGGATTTTAAAGTTGTTTTTGCACCTTTCTAAAAATACATATAACTGTATAAAATATGTAGAATTCAATGCAAGAATAAATTGAAAAATGATAATTTTGGTATTTCTCAATTAAATTAATATTTTACCTTTAATATTTATTGACACGTATTTGGTACTGGGTAAATAAGTGAAAAGAAAACTGTCAAACAATTGCTACTTGAGTACAAATGGAAAATTTGTTTTGTTAACAGTGACATAATGATGAGAGACAACCTCTTTGAAATTGTAACATCGTCTCGAACTTTCTATGTGCAGGTAAGATACTTCTTTTGAGATTATAGATCCTCCTAGCAAGGAATTAATAATTTTAGAGGTGAAATAGGCATAAATAAATGTGGTGCTCATAAAAGCAAAAATATGACAAGTGTAATTGCCAACTTAATAAAAAAGATGCTCTATCTAAGATTATTGGTAGGTCATATGTTCAGCAAAGCGATATTCTTCGCTATAAGTTAATTGAATAGAATTAAGTTTTATTTGGAAGAAGGGAAATGTGCTGTTTAGATGCTAAGTGGGTATTTCCAATTTGGATTATTTTTGCACATATTTTGGAATTTCAATTATATCACTTTTTGGTAATTTTCTAAAAAGGGGGACTCAAATATCCATAAAAATATCCATAATAAAAGTAAATAGTAGATCTTATTTCACTAATGGTGGATAGGTATCCTATATTTAAGTTTAAAATACACTTTTTATTTAACACATTAATTTACTTAAAAGTTTTTTTTATAAGAACATTTAGTTTTGTTTTTAAAAGTTATTACATATGCTTTTTGCAGAAAATGTAGAAAAATACAGAAATATGAGGAGGAAGGTGCTTTATAAAACATGGAATTCTACATTCAGGCAGCTGTTCTTTTGTTTGTTTGTTTTTATTAAGATATATGTTTTTATACCAAGTGGGATCATATGAAATATAGTGTTATATCCTATTTATTTACTATATTATGGTTACTTTTCCCCATGTCATTAAGAATTCTCTGAAAGCCTTTTAGAACTATGCTCTCTTATATGAGTGTTTTACAATTAAACTATTTCTGTACTGTTACCTATCATTCATTAACAGTTTTTGTACATTTACTATGGTATAACATGTTATTGAACATTTTGTGAATAAATTTGTCTGGATTTCTTACTCGCTTCTGATCAGTTTCTAGATCAGGAATAACTATTAGAGCATGAGCTTTTTTAAACCTATCTTTTACCATATTGATTTCTAGACTGGTGCTCCTGTTTGTAGTGAACGAAAGTATGCTCGACCTCAGCCTGCTTTGAGTTTTTCCTTTTAAAAACTCTTTGTTATTATCATTGGTTCAAAAGTATTACTTGTGTCTTTAAAATTTTTAAACTTAATCTAGAAGGGGCCCTACCTCGCCACCCCTCTGAGGGCCTTGTTTAATTGAAGTCATCGGAAGGTTTTTAATGCACATTGGAAGCCACAGTCCTATCAAGGAAGAGCCTGCTTTGACATATACTGCTAATACCGCTTTTAGGATTTTAGGGTACAATTAGAAATTGTTTTTAGAAAAATAACATAAAATGATGTCACAGTGGTTTTTTTTTACTGCACAATTACATAAATATCCATCTTGAAAATTTAGACAAGTGTAACAATTGGAGAGCAAAATGAGAAGGTCTTTGACTTTCTCCTCTTCTTGTTTTCTCTCCAAAACTGTTCAAGTTGACACTTTTTGACTTGTCTTATTTTAGAACATTAAGTGCCCAACTTACTTCTATGTGTTATTTACCCAGCAAAACCTGGTTTAAAAAAGTGATTTCTAAAATTTCTTAGAAACCATTGCCTTGGGCTGATTTTGTTGTTGACATTATGTTAATTACCAAGATGAACACATTGGATTTATAGACACAAGAGCTGATTTTGAGGAAAACTTGAATGAATCCTTCCTTCCCCTTAGGCTGATAGCCCTGAAGAGATGCACAGTTGGATTAAAGCAGTCTCGGGTGCCATTGTAGCACAGCGGGGACCCGGCAGATCAGCGTCTTCTGTATGTTTCCTCTTCTTTGGGGTGATACTCCCTTGGATCCCCAATCCTGTCAAGTTATTTTTCTTCCTCTCCCCCTAATCCTTTTGATTTCTTTCTGTTTTGAGATTTATCTGCATGTTGACTTTCATACCGATTGGACTTGCAAAAAAAAATAATGCATTTCTAATTTAATGCTTCCTATAGTGTTATGTATACATAACTTTTCTGTGCATTGTATTGTCTTAAATGCACAAGCAGGGCAACTAAAGAATGAACGTTTCCTTGTTTTGTTTTAGGAGTTCTTACTTGTCAGTAGGTCCAGATTTGGTATAATTTTACCAATTCTTAGTGTGGTATTTGACCTAATCATTTAAGGCGCCTTTAGTTGTAGCATCATACAATTTCGTGAAGTTTCCTTTTTAACTTCCTGTAATTTCAGTTTAGGTTTTTTGCCTCAATAGTGCCATAAGACAGTTGAGCAGCTTGAACCTTAAATATAATGTTCTCTTTCCATTTCATTCTCATTTTTCACTTGGTTAATTTAAAAGGCTGCTTTTCACTATGTTAATTATCTTTATGGTAGTATAATTAAACCAGCTAAACATTCTCAGTAAGGAATATGTTTTTGCTTTTTAATTTACCATGTACATCATAAGAATAAGATTTAGCTTTAGGATACTTTGGTCACTGATCTCTGATCTGAAAATACAAATCTACTAAGGAATGAAAAACTTTGAAGCATCTTAAAATGCAGTATATTTGTCTACAGAAGGTAGTCTAACCCTAATACAGAGCATGATAGCCTTTATTACCGAGACTCATCATCGATGATGATATTCTGCACTTCTAGTATTTTCCTGCACTGCTAGTATTGCAGTAATGCTGTCTTTTAATCTTTTCTTGTTAGAAATGATCTAGGTCAGTAAATACAAAAAAAATCCATCTTTTCTCACTTTTAAAGTTATTCTTCTTATATCCTTTTTGGAATAGCTCAGAAATTATTTTTAGAGGTGTTAATTTTGTAACCACCTGTGTTTTATGTGACCTTTTCAGCGGTCAAGTATGAGACTCTCTGCAAAAACAATATCTGTTGGGAAGAGGAAAAGCTGGAGAAGGGTGTTTGTGTTTTGTGCTTTGTGGTGGGGGCAAAGTGGACTCTCTGGCTCTAACTGTCAGCAGAACTGTCTCTTTTCCTCCCCTCCCCAGGATAGGTTAACTCTAATCTTAGCTTTGCACTGTGTTCCAGATGCGGCAGGCCAGAAGGCTGTCGAACCCTTGTATACAGAGGTATACGTCAAGAACTGGGGAATGCAGCACGTATGTGGGCTCTCACGCACACAGGCCTTCTTACTAGAGGGCCGGACTTACTCACTACTCACAGCTGATTCTAGAAAGTTGAGTTAACCAAACTGCCTTCTGCAGTTATCATAACTGACTTTGTCAACACTAACGCAAACTATTTCACTACAGTCATCAGGTTGCATATGTCTATTAAAAAAATAATGAAAAAAAATAGAACTTTACTAATTTAAAAAGCCCTGTCTATTTTCTAAAGCTTAATTTCCTGAGTTGTCACAAGAATTTCAATTTCTGTATTTAATGTATTTGGGAATTCTTTTATACTACACTACTTGAAATGCACCTTTGTGGTAATATGTACAAACTCACAGGTGCACATGCATTGGATAAACTCTACATTACTGTAGTTTGCATGGCATATTAGCTCTTAGGTGAAATTTAGCCGACTAATGGAAATCTGTAGTGTTCTGGTGGTTTGTTGTAGCACTTTGTTTTCAAAGCCACCAATGTCACAAATAAACACAATAAATTAGGAACTATATGGCAGTGCATTTAGTATGGTCATATTTAAGGTTAACTTCAGATTTGATTTAGTCAGAAGCATATTGAAATGAATATTCACAACTGAAATTATTTTATGACAGTTTTAATAAATGCTTAAGTATATATCCTTTGCTGTCTTTAAAGTGTCAAGCCGTGTGAATGTGTGCCATGTGCAAAAATAAATAAATGCAATTAAATAAGAAGCAAAAGGACTATGATATTATTGGTTGCAGGTGAAATTCAGGGAAGCAAAAACTAAGTTTATGAGGCTACCAGGCAAAATAATAGGTTTGAAAAATGTTTAATTCTGCTTATTAAAGAAATAATTGCCTTTTATTTTTATATTCTACATTTTCATTGTTTAATCTTTCTAAAACATATGGGATAATTCCTACTGTTTATTGAGAATAAACTCTTAAGTAAAAATGGTAAAGCTGGTAGGCCCCCTGTTAAACACAGTTCAGTTGCAGTTGGTACACTGCATTCCAGTCTAGGCTGACTGAGCCTTTAGTGTCAGAGCTGCCAGATTTGACTTTGGTGACAGAACTGGTTTCTTAGTGGAGATGGTTGTTGGCTGTCATTGCTCTAAACTCACTCCTAAAAATGCACTGCTTCGGGAAAGAACTTGCACACGTACGCTGCATGGCTCATGCTTCTGCTCCGTGTGTGTCTTGTTCTGTTTGTTTTTCAGAGAATAAAGTCTCACACTGAGTTACTAACCCTGTCGTTATTGATTGCCTGTGTCTGACCACCACTCCTCTTTGCAGGAGCATTCCAACAGTCCTTCCGAGCCCAAACACACTCTCCGCTCTGCCAGTGCCGCAGCAGCCACCCCACATTCCGCAGCCTCTCGCAGCAACTCTTTGGTCTCAAGCTTTCCCATGGAGAAGCGAGGATTTTACGAATCTCTTGCCAAGGTCAAGCCAGGGAACTTCAAGGTCCAGACTGTCTCTCCAAGAGAACCAGCTTCCAAAGTGACTGAACAAGCTCTGCTAAAACCTCGAAGTAAAAATGGCCCTCAGGAACAAGATTGTGACCCCGTGGACTTGGATGACGCAAGCCTTCCAGTCAGTGACGTGTGAGGTGGAAGCTCGTGGAGCCTGACCCGCCTCATCAGCCCGCGGTGTCCTTTTCACAAGGCTTTTCGCCAAAGATGATAAAGGGGAAGTGGGTTTTAACGCGTAGAGTATCCTGCCTCGTCGCTGTCCTCTTTATAAGCTGGTAAGCCAAGGAGCTAGCAAGTGGCCAAACTAAATGTAATTTCTTTAAAAGAAAGAAAAAAGCCCTGTTAGTATCAACTGTCTGAAGCTTTGTTCTCATTGGGATGATAAAAACGTGTGTGTGTGTGTGTGTGTGAGAGAGAGACACTTTTTCCTAGTGAATTTGACAATTTAACCGCTTCACAATTTAAAACATGAAAAATGCTTATTAATTACTTTGGTTGTTTTAAAAATGCTACTGTGACTTCCTATTAGATGTTCAGTCTCTACACATTCTTACTGGTTAATATTATTGATTGAAATATTGTCAGACAAAGATGTCTAAACTCATGACGTCTGTGGTGCTGTAAAATTTATACTACAGTGTGGACAGTTTTGAAACGATAACCATTTTTGATGCTCTCGATCTCAAGGTGAGCAGTGCATTTTGATTAGAGGGTATTATTGAACTGTTAGTGAGGGTTGTGGGTTGTACTGTTGGAGAAAAGGGGAGAATTAGAATTCAGACAGGTATATCTTGGACATTTGTTTGTAAAATCTTAGTCAAGATGTGTAGCACAGTCATTGCTTTTATTCAGTGAAAATTATTTGGTATGAAATTTCTTGGAGGTCTGATTTTCTTGTCAAAATCTTGTAAATAGTTCTATATTTGAATCAGTGGAAGACCTCGTTTATATGTAAAGATACTGCCCTTAGTCATGTGGTTGTAGCCTCTGCTTTTTGTCACTAGTAACCTGTATCCAAGTGTTCATCTTGTTTAGGAATGTGTTGAGATTAATGTGCTCAAAAGTCCTATGTGATTGGTTTTAAACAATTGGGATAAAATTAATTTTTAGTAGCATAAGTTAATGTGTTAAGTAGCATACCATTTTGTGTTAGAGATACCAGAATGTTGTTATTCTACTATCTGTGCAATACATGTTTTAAGCACAAATTGGAGTATACATTTAATCATGAGGATGTCAAAAATACAAGTTTCTCTCAAAAATGTCGTTAGTTTCAGGTGTTGAATAATAGACCAGTTTGACCAAGTACTGTTTCTACGGTTCAGTCTTAAACATTTGCTTTAAGAAAATAGTCTTGAATTTCATATGCTGCTATTTTTTATGATATTTTGCCATATTACAGTACTGTTTTGTTTTGAATTCATACATGTCACTGTTTCTCCTTTTCATTTTCTCAGATGACTTTTTGTTTGAGAGCGAGAAAGTGGGAGTGGATTTCTTAAATCAGAGTGGAGTCCAGAGGTTACTATCTGTTACACTAGAATTATCATAGCATCAGTTTAAAAATCCAAATGCATAAAGAATGCACCACTCAACATTTTTATTCATAAGCTATTATTTTTGAAACTTATATTTAGATTTTTCTTCTTTTTTGCAGCTACATTTGAAAATGATAGAATGAAAAGGTTTTAAGTTGTTATTTTCTCTGCGGATGCATCCATTTCGTCGGCTCTTTTAGAAAGCTCTTTTCTCATGAGCACACCTAAGAAATCTTGTGCAGACAGTTGGTGATACTCAGGAGCTGAATATTCAGGAGCCTAATGCTGTTTTCTTTGGTACAGCTTCCACACTGCATGTTCATTTTAATATTTTGGTATTGGTAATTTGATATATTTCATAGTGGCAAAATATTAGCTCTATTTTGGGACTTTTTATAGAACTACCCTTGCATTCAATAGCATAGGAAAATGTTCTTGTGATTGTCAGGGTCTTCTAATATTTATCTCAATACTTTTATAATACTATGAAAATTATTTAATTATTTTAAAACATATACTTTTCTTGTAAATATGTCCACATCCGAATTGTCAAAGAATTACTTTGAATACCTTAATATTTGCTGCATTTTTTTCTGTGTATATAACATGTCTTCTCTCAGAATGGGAATATATGTGTGCTTCCTGATGTTTACTTTTATGTCTGGTATCTTTATACATCAAACTGGTTAAACACTGTAATGCTTCAAAATAAACTCAGAATTAATTCTAACTTATTTCTCAGGAATGATTCAGTTCTTGTGTAAACAAAGAAATAAAATAAATACAAAATATGTTTCATTAATTGATGTGAATTTACATGTTTAAGAACAGGCTAATTAGTTGGTAGCCTTGGAAAGGCATAACTTGATAAGAAATTGTGCAAGGAAAGATGAGTGGTTTGGGGGAAATGAGCTTATTTTTGCTTAATTAGAAAACATGTTCTCAAAGGCAATATTAACTGTGTTGGGTTCAAAGCATCATTTGAATCATCTGGACTGCACTTGTATTGCTTGGTTGTTAGTTAGATGGGTGTGAGATGACTAAAAATGAGTGCAGAGGATGTGCTGATCCACACGTGGGCTGTGGACACGACTCGTAAAAACACCCCATTAAGTGTTAGAAGCTGCTTCTCGCAAACCTGCTACTAATAACAAATAGTACACCTTTGCTGTGTATCCAGCATCTAATAATAATGAAACTGGATAAGGATATATTGACTGGCGCAACTTGATTTCTTTCTCTGAAAAGTGTTTTAAATGTTCTTAATTTAAAAAATGAGAAAGTTCTAAACTTCATTATTTTTACAAAAAAAAAAAAAAAGAGATCCCTTTCTCACTCATCTTTTTACTTCTAGTTAAAGTCATACTTATGTCTGTATCAAAAGTTCTAACAGTGAGGCAGGAAATGTTCATATAAAAATGGAATAATGTAACAGCTTAGTACCATATTTCATAACAGTCTTCCTTGTTATGAGGGGTTTGACATTTCACACAGGACATGGCTGTAAACTCGCTTAGTCTAGAATTGATTATTTGTATGTGTTGTTTATTTTTTTTAATGACTTATGAAAATCACATTTTTGTCAAACCTCATTTAAGGCATGTATTAATATGCTGAATTTACAGTATTCAATGCAATTTATAGTTGTATTTACAATTTTGATCCATATGGTCCTAGTGTTTTATTTTTATGACAGTGACTAGGTCTGTGATGTGTTATATTCATGAAGTAATAGCGCCATCTTCTGGTTGTATCATTGTTAAATTTGAAGTAATTTGAAATCTCACTTTATTTCACTTAGAAAATTAAAACATGTAATTGCCTAGGATGACTTAGAAATTAATATAAAATTTAATGCAACATTTGTGAGTGACTTCTTTAAACCTTTTATTTGGAGATAATCATAGATTCCCATGATGTTGTAAGTAATAATCCGGGGGTCTTGTATACCCTTCACTCAGTTCTACCCATAAAACAATTCCCTCACCACAAGGATCTCTCACTGTTGCCCTTTTATAATCACATTTACCTCCCATTTTACAGGAGGAAAATAAAAGTCATTTGCTTAAATTCACATTAGGTTTAAAATTTACTTTTTTATTCCAAGATCTGCACTCCTAACCATTATGGTATTGCTGCCACAGTAGAAGTCTTCAAAACTGCTCTGTTTATGTTGTGCTATCTCCAAGGAGTTGAACTTTCCTGCAACTTATTTTCAGTGTTTTTCAGAACCATAATATTTCAAATGATAGATTTCTTTATACATGCATTCACATTTAATATTTGAGAATCAATAGTAGATAAATATCCTGATCATTACTTCCCTGAAAGATTTTAAGCCCTGACATTGCCATTATATAAATTAATAAGGTTACCAAAATAAGGATTTTAAAATAGCTCTAGGATGTCGAATTCTTGAATTGGAAAGAGTTGTGGAAACTGGTTATAGTCACTGGGTGTAAGGTAAGAATGAGGTGTTTTTCCATGTGGAGAAACTTTGGAACTTCTGATAAAGTCAGGTCAAATTCATGTCTTCAGTGTACAATATGAAGTGCACAGGAAACCTCAGAAGATGATGGGGATTTGGAAAGGTCCCAGGAGAGAAAAATTTCTTGATAAGTAAAAGCTATGTGACAAGACAGTAAATTTGGACGTATTGATTTGAAATTTGAAGTCTCCAAGTGGGTGCATAAAATTTAAGTTGTTCTCTTGAAGTTTCATTTTCTCCCTTCCAAACTATGGTACTTTCTCCCTGTGATACTGGTTTTCTTCAGCATTGGTGAGGGTCGGGTGGGGGAGCAAGGAGAATGGCTGAGTGGATGGGAAGGGGGGAACTTTTCATGGGCTTCCCACATGGTGCAGTGGTAAAGAATCCACCTACCAATGCAGGAGATGCAAGAGACGTGGGTTTGATCCCTGGGTCAAGAAGATCCCCTGAAGTAGGAAATGGCAACCCACTCCGGTATTCTTGCCTGGAGAATCCCATGGAGAGAGGAGCCTGGCGGGCTACAGTCCACGGGGTCGCAGAGTTGGACATGACTTGGCACACATACACATTCCAAGATTTAGGAGCTTAACCACCTGAGGCTCATTTTTGCCTGTCTTTGGTAACTTCACGACTTGAACTTATTCTGTTCCCTGTGGATCCTTATTGTTATTTCCAAGTAGAGACCATTGGTCCCAGCAACATTTTTCCTTTGTGACTTTCATATACACCATTCTTCTCGTCTTGGCTCATGTTAGCACTACCCTTGTTTCTCACTCTCCTTTTGCCTGTCTGTGTTGCAAAGGTGGGAGATTTCCTAATGGATTAGAAATGGTGAGTGAAAGGAAGTGATATATTAGAGGTAAAGGCAAGTCCTGTGGCCTGAACAACTGGAGAAACACAGAGTCCACGATCTGAGGTAGCAAAGATTACAGCTAGAACAGGTTTGGAGGCAGAGGTTGTGACTGAAGTATTGAGTGTGATGGTTTGAGATGACTATTAGATACCAAGGAGAAACATCAGAAAGGCAGTTGGATATACAAATTTGGAATGGAGGGAAATCTTCGTTGGAGATGAAAACGGGAGCCTTCAACATACTAGGTGGTGGTTAAAGCTTTGAGACTGGATTAGAGAGATGAAGAAAGAAGAAAAGAGGACCAAAGAATGGATGGGGCATTCCAATGCTAAGAGCTCAGAAGAGGAACCAGTGGTGGAAAATGAAAAGGTGTGATTACTGGTCAGTTGGAAGCCAAGGGATGCAAATGAGTCAAGGGGAAGGGGTCAGATGTGTCAATGTTGCTCACAGGTCTAGTAAGAAGCCAGCTGAGAAATTGGGTTTGTCAATGTGAAGGCCATTGGGATCAATAGGAGCAGTTTTGGTGGAGTGGAACCAAACACAGCTGCTGTGAGGAGTTCTGCTATAACAGGAGCAGAGAAGTGGGAAGCAAAAGCAGAGTCAAGTTTTTTGTTTCTGTTTTAAGACGGAATAGTGGCGTTTGGTTGATGAGATGACCCAATAGCAAAAGGAAGAAAGATGATGTAGGAGATGGGAAGGATGGTTGGAACCAAGTCCGGGGGGAGATGAGATGAAATCTAGTGCACAAGTAGGGGGCTTGGCTGTTTATACAGCAGCATCGATGTTTGTCTGTGGTAGGAGGGCAGAGTAAGTGGAGGCATGGGTGGGAGGAAGTCTCTGCAAGTCCCCTGGCTTCAGTCCCAGCGAATCAGGAAGTGATCCTCAGCGACGAGTCAGATGGGGAAGGCAGTATTGCGAGGTTTGAGGAGAGAGTAGATGTGAATTGTCCCTGCTTGTGGAGAAGGAAGGGACCAGGGACATAGAGGACATCTTGGCAGCACTGAGAGCCCACTTGAGCCTGTGCTCACGAATTACAGGTTAATGTTAAATAACAGGTCCCTGCAGTCATTTCTGTCATCCTTCTGTTTTGAAAAGCCCTCTAGGTTCCCACTGAGTGGCATGGTGCTGGCTTTTGGGCTGAGGTAGGAATATTTGATTCAACTATTCATATTTTATTGAGTTTTTTTAAATGAAGAAGGGCAGTTGAATTTTATCAAATATCTTCAGTATCTGTTGGGCTTCCATGATGGCTCAAAGGGTAAAGAATCTGCCTGCAATGCAGGAGACTCAGGTTCAATTCCTGGGTCAGGAAGATCCCCTGGAGAAGGGAATGGCAACCCACTCCAGTATTCTTACCTGGAGAATTTCATAGACAGAGGAGCCTGGCAGGCAACAGACCATGGGGTTGTAAAGAGTCCGACACGACTTGAGTGACTAACATGGAAATAATCTTGTTTCCCTCCTTAGATCAGTTAATTTGATGAATCACATTAATTCACTTCCTATTATCCATCGTTACATTTTGGAAATAAATACCATTTGGTCAGGATATATTTAAATAAGCTGCTGCTGTTTGCTATAATTTTATCAGGAATTTTTGCCTAAATACAAGTGATACTGGTTTGTACTTTTCTTCTGTATGGGTCTAGTCTTTGTAGGTTTTGCGATGTTAAACTAGCTTCATGGAAAGAACTTAGTAGATTTTCTTCTGAACTATTTTGGAACAACGTGAAAAGAATTGGAATGATTAAAGAGTTGGTGAGCTTTCCCCATTGAACATTCTAGACCCTTTTGTGGGGGTGCATCCTGACAACCTCCTCATTTCCTCCATGAAACCTGATGCACTTAGAACCTATCTTTTCTAGAATTCATTTTAATAAACAATATTCCTAGGAAATTAGACAAGTTTTCAAGTGTATTTGCATGAGTTGAGCAAAATACGCAGGACAAGAACTCACTTTGTCTTCAATTCAGAATAAATGAACTAACATGAATATTTCATTTATATGGCAAGTTGTGGTATCTGATTCTTAACTTGCACCAAGATAATTACAGACACAAACAAGGACCCTAAAATAAAGTGGTGGTTTTCAGGTATGAGAGTTCCAAAAAACATCTGCTTCTGCATTATTGACTATGCCAAAGCCTTTGACTGTGTGGATCACAACAAACTGTGGAAAATTTTTCAAGAGATGGGAATACCACACCACCTTTCCTGCCTCCTGAGAAATCTGTGTGCAGGTCAAGAAGCAACAGTTAGAACTGGACATGAAACAACAGACTGGTTCCAAATTGGGAAAGGACTATGTCAAGGCTGTATATTGTCACCCTGCTTATTTAACTTATATGGAGAGTACATCATGTGAAATGCCGGGCTGGATGAAGCACAAGCTGGAATCAAAATCACCAGGAGATATACCGATAACGTCAGCTACACAGATGACACTACCC